ACACCACCGAGCACAACACGTATTTATGGCCCCAATTACGGCTTTCACCTCCTGCCTCCACGAAGGAGCCGGAATAGCGACGGGAATAGTGTATGCAGGGGGGTCTGAGGCTTCTCCAGCAATAACTACAAGATTACAGACATGTTAGCAAACCCCGGTGACGCGGCTCTATTATAATGATAAATCTACAGCTTTATGTAGAAATAATGAGACTGGGGGGCAGAAAAGGGGGGAAGGGAAGAGCAGGGTGACTTCAGCCAATCGAAGCTCAGGCTGGAGAGGCAATGGCAAGTCTCTGGGAAAGCCTCGCGGCCACCAAGGACGCTAAGCCAAGCCAGGCAGGACGGGGGCAGAGCAGCCCTGCCCCAGGTGGAGTGGATGTAATGGGCTCCCGTGATTTCTTCCCATGCCTGGGCTTCCTTTTGAAGTGGAGCAGGAGAGGTCTCCAAGTGCCCACTTCTCACTATGCAGGCCGGAGGCGGAGAGGGCGGGTAGGAGCTCCTTTTCGCTGAGGTTCCACTCCAGAACAGTCTGGAGGTGGAGGCCAGTGTCACTTGTGCCTTGAGATTTGCTGTTAATTAACCAAGCGGGAGACTCCCCTTCACTGGCCTTGCGAATGCTCAAGCTTTGCCATTCAAACCAACACCCCACGCCTGGTCCCACCCACCAGGGCTGAATCCGGTTCTTTGATACCAGCGCCAAGAGCAAGAAGAAGATGGCTTTGGTGGACTCCCGTGACCTCAGAGCAGCCTACCCAGCCCGCGGGCCACCGTCATCCAGACTACCTGATCCGACTGGTTAATCTCTGCCACTCCGGACACAAGCCATCCACCTGAGCCACACGCCTGCAGGGTGCACAGGCTGGGTCTGTCCCCACCAAGCCTGGCTCTACCTGTTTACAGAATGCTGCACGACCTTCTCCAGGAGGCCTCCCCAGCTTAACCGCCCCCGACGCCATTCCTTCCCTCGTGCACTAATACAGACGGCCCCCGACCTATGACGGTTTAACTTACGATTTTTCAAAATGCTATATGCATTCAGCAGAATTCAGACTTTGAATTTTGATTTTTGACCTTTTCCCGGGCTAGTGATACACGCACGGTATGATACTCTCTCGTGAAGCTGGGCGGGGGCGGCGAGGCACAGCTCCCAGTCAGGCACTCGATCACAAGGGTACACAACTGACGCTTTACAGTGTATTCATTGTGTTAGATGGTTGTGCCCAACCGTAGGCTAATGAGTTCTGAGCACGTTTAGGGTGGGCCGGGCTAAGCTATGATGTTCAGTAGGTGAGGCGTATTAAATGCATTTTCTATTTAACGATATTTTCAACTTACAATGGGTTTGTCAGGATGTAACCTCATTGTAAATCAAGAAGCATCTGTACATAATTGTAATTGAATTAACTAAGCCATTGGTCTTTCAACAAGAATGTGCTGATTTCTTACATGTGCATAAAATAACATGCTCAGCCCTGAGGGAAAGTAAAAGAGAAAGCCAAATGTGGGACACGAGCCATTCCTGAGCCGCTGGGAGGACTTTGCGAGACAGAATATGTGACTCGGGATATAACTGAGGGGCACAGGGAATAAATCCAGAGGAGCGATTGCTGTGAGCACAGGCCTTCGGGGAACCTATGGAAGCTGGATCGGTCTGGGCGAGGCAGAGGGGTGGGTCGACGGCCCGCCTGACATGGAGAACCCTGTGAGCAAAGGCAAGAGGCAGGACGTTCAGGCGTGTTCAGAGACTGGCCAGCAGGCAGAGGACCTGCCAGAGTTCCAAATTTGGGGCCAAAATGTAGCTCTAGGAAGGGAAAAGGCAGGAGAAACGGGGGCCGGCTGCACTCGTCCGTGCTGTTCCCCACCTCGCTGGCTGCAGGATTTCATGTGCACCGCGCGCCCCATCATTCCTGGTGATTTGGGCCCCTCTGGCCCCGAGAGAATTACAATCTTAGAGTCAGAGCCAAAACACAGGTGAAAGCACCAGCCTTCTTATTTCGCTTTCCCTCCTCCGCCTGATTCCTTGCCTGCTGGAGAGGCCTGCAGGGGCCTCGTGCAGGCAGGACGTCCGGCTCAGACGTACGTCCAGCAAGCAAGACGGGGTGCGTGAGCCCAGTCGCTGGATCCTCAGCTTTGGAAACTCCTGGACGCGCTCTCTTCCTGGCTAGACGGCTTCCTCTTCCTCTTTGCCTGTCAAGTTAGGAATGCCAGTCCCTCCCCACCAGCTCAGTCCTCCTCCTCCGGGAACCCTTTCCTGCTGTCAGCTCAGGTCTTGCAGCCTCACGCGGTGTATATAGTATTTGCCGTTTTGCATCGTTAGCTACTGCATGGAATCCTCTGTCTCTGTCATTAGATCCTACATTTCTGTGGCGTGAGGTGTCTGCCTTCTATCCCAACCCCTGTCACCCCCCAGTGCCTGGCACAGTGTTCTGCTCAGGAGGAGGTGGAGGAGGACTATAAGGTCCTGACTGAGGATGACAAGGACAATGATAATTTGTCCAGCGCCCTTTGGATGATCTGCTTTTTCTAAAGCTGGGCTGGGCAAAGGGGACGGGACGAGAGCGAGGGCAGCCACGGCGTTCTAGGATCCAGGATCTTAACATCCAGGTGAGGGGCACGCTCGGGTGGACTGCCTACTTCGGGGGCTTTCACTCGGGGCCGGAGCTCAAGTCCCAGAAAGGGGAGCACTCTGGTAACAAGGGAGGCTCCTCGGAAGTCTGAGGTGAGCTCTACTTCCCACAGCCCTTGGCCTTCGCTTCCGCTTCGCTCTGAGCCCCTGGGTCTTTGCCTCAGTGAGGAGGACCGAGCTGCTTTTCTCTACCTGCGCAGTCAGTGTATTGAAGCTGCTGCCTTATGAGGCCACACGGGAAGGGCTGCGCCAGATGTAAACTTCAGAGTGATTTATGGAGCAGAGCTGCTGTCGCAGCCCGCCCCGTCTGCCCACCCCGTCTGCTGGCCCTGCTGTTGGGGCTGTTCTTGAGGGTGACAGTTCAGGAAAGTTAAGGTGGCAGAGGTGCTGGGACATCGGACTGGACTGGTCAAAATCAGCCCCACCTATGAGAACAGGGTGTCCCGGAGACCCTTCCTGGGGCAGAAACAAGCTTGCTTTCTTTGAAGAATCAAGATTCTTATCCTTTTCTCATCAGAGCACGGCTGATTTTCCCAGCCTCTCTCCTTACAAATTCAGTGCAGAGATATTGTGTATTGACTGTCGGAAGGGAGGGGCTGCAGACTGGGCGGGGTCACCCATCGGTGCTTTACGGAAACGCCCCTGCGTGCTCTCGGCTGCCTGGGAGGGCTTCGAGGGCTTCGAGGGCTTCGAGGGCTTCGAGGGCTTCGAGGGCTTCGAGGGCGGCCAGGGCGGCCAGGGTGGCCAGGGCGGCGAGGGAGGCGCTCCACCTTCGCCTGCAGGACGCAACTGCACCGCTTCCTCAACGCCCAGCCAGAGGACTTGCGCACCAAACCTAAGCACTCTGCGCGTGGCCTCTTCAGTTCTTGGGGCCAGCG